CTGACTGTGTTTTCTTCTGAACTGTTCTTTATTGCCTTTTGATAGTACTTGTGAAAGATGATAGTAATATTGCTGTTCGCTTTTATTTTATACAGACAGTTCTAAACTCTTCAAATCCACTTTTATGCAGACCAGAAGAGAGAAAAATGCTTTTATTAATTAAGTGGCACTCTCTTTGTTCCAGTTTCCCTGGTTGTGCTTATTACCTTGGCTGCTATGTGTGCTTGGCTCTCTCAAGTCATTCTTTTCTGATGTAGTGGTGATGCAGGACAACCAGATGGTATCCAAACCCTTGTTTTAAAGGGCTTTCTCCTCTTGGCTGAGCAGCCCTAGTAACTGAAGTCAAGGAAGCTCTATTGTGCACTGAGGAATGTGGTGGGAAGCTGCTGTGCCCTTCCTAGCACACTCAGTGTTGGCATGAAGGAACCGGGGGAGCAAAGACTGACTTATTTAAAAGATCTCTACATCTACTTCCCACAAAGCATAACATTGCATAGCAAGTGTCGTACCTGCTCTGCTGGCTGACAACTGCAATTTTTTATTTCATTTTGCCCAAACCAACCCACAGAGCTTACATAAGTGTCTTTCTGTCCCATACCATGTCAGACCAATTTTAAAGTTAAATCCCAGTGCTGTGGGATATTGGCTAATCAGATTAGAGAGCATGTATCAAGTATCTTTACTGCTGTGTGACCAGTTCTTCTAGGCTGTTGTATGTTAGTCCTAGTTTTTGAAGTACTACTGTATATAAAGAGTGTGGATTGGAGGTTAGAGGCGACTTCTATTGTTGTAATTTATTATTATTTCTTCGGCTTGGGGAAAACTATTTTTCATAGCATGGAAAAACCCCTACTTTCAAGCCTATGGAATGAAACCTTTATTTCATTGTCTGATGCTGGTTTGTTGTTTCACCATATATGCACAAATGTTCATGCACTGACACCACTGCCAGTAAAATCTCCCAGTATGGTCTCCAAATGGAACTACGGCATCAGCAGCGGTAGGGCAGGACAGATGAAAATTGGTCAGTCCCCACCTCCATCCTCTGAAAACTCTCCTGAACCTTTGGGCTTGCCACTGTTCGATTTTGCTGAAAACTTGTAGTGTGTGCAATGGGGTGTTTGCCAAAGGTTGTGCTGTACAATAAAGTTAAGAATGTTTCCATGTGTGATTGTTTGAACTACAGCTTTCAGTCTCTTTTGATATTAAAAACACCAGGCTGCCAGCCAACCCTCCCTCACCCTTGACATACGCATGTGCACTCTGGCTGGGGTGTCTTGTGAAGTTTCAGCCTTACATTCAGCGTTACAGTACTATTGAAACAGGTCTGGGCACCTTCCTCCTGGAGGACTCACAAAATCCAAGGTTCTTTGCTTTATTTATCAAGATGAACTGGGGCTTTGAGCAACCTGGTCTAGTGGGAGGTGTCCCTGCCCATGGCAGGGGGGTTGGAACTGGATGATCTTTAAGGTCCCTTCCAACTTCAACCTGTCTATGATTCTATGATTTTCTAACTAACCCTCCAGTTTGTTTTTGTCATGGACTCTCACACTGGACTAAATGACTCACTTTATTCAAGAGACGCTTTAATGCATACCCAAAACTCTAGAAGAGTCTGACAGAGCTGGCATAGCCAGGGCAGGCTCTGAGCCCAGCACTCACCAGCAGAGCCTGTTTGTAGATAAGAGGGGGTGAATCCATGATCCTCTTGGCTTGGTTGTTCTGTTCTGAGATTTAGCACGGATCCTTTCCTGGAGCACCAGCTGTGAGGATGAGTTTATCTCTCATTAGGAGCCGAACAAGATAGATACATACATCTATATATCTCTATGTTGGTTTATTTGGGGCTTTTCTTATGTTGTTTTGGGTTTCTTTTTCCACCCATCCTCAACACACTCAACCCCTTCCAGTACTTGGAAGCTCCTGTTGATGATAAAGCACAGCCCAAATGAAAATCGCGACAATCACCACACATACAAAACATTTCTAATCTAGCACAGGACCTGTTTGTAAAAGTGCTAGAACACCCTGATGATCCTTGACTTAGCCAGCCTTTGCGGGCTAAAGGAAACACTTTCAGTTCTGTATCTTCATCAGTAGGTGGTGCTGGCGAACTGCACATTTGTTAGTGCACTCTTTGAGCTGTCTGCACCATAGACTTAGAGCCGTGGAGGTAGGGTGGTCGAAGTTTCAAGGGGGTCTCAATCCCGCATCAGAACAGGTGCCCCATTTTGCCGACACAGTGATCTGTACGACCTTGTGCATAAGGAAATGCGTTACCTGAACTGCTCAAGCTTCTGACTACAGCCAGAAATGACGTTTATTGGTACCTGAAATTGGACATGCTTGCATTGAAATATGGAATATAAGTCCACAGTTTTATGAATGGGGGATATCTGTACAGAGAACGACTTCTGAGGACGTGAAAGTACATAGGTGGAGTTTCCCTCTTTGAGTCCCATCTTGAAGTGGAGCAGAGAGGAAGGTTACGAGCACGACCTTGTTTCTCTCCTCGCCTCAGCATACCTACAGTTGATTCTGTTTCAGCTTTCAACTGAAAACTTTTTTTTTTTTGTTATTGGGTGTGGCCTTAGAATAAGCATTATAGTCACGCAGTGATCTGAAATGAGAAGTTGAAGAAAAGCATTGTTTATAGCAGCATCTTTACTTGGTTTTTATGTTTCTTTTAACATAGTGAATGGCTAATAATCTCAATCTTCCTTTACACAAATCTGTAAATAAAATTATTGTTGATCCTTGCATGACCTTGTGACCAATGTTGCCATAAGATGTAGCTTCACACTGGCAAGTGTTTCATTTGATGCGATCTCTGGTTTGAGGACTGCTGACTGGCATCTGGTAAGAGAAGTTAATAAGAGGAACTAGACAATAAATCAATCCTTACTGGGCATATAGTAGACATACAATACACACTAGCTCACTGTGTTTTTTCCAGTTAAAGTGGAGCTGTGGAAGACTGCAGGAGTTACATGCGCTTCAGAGTTGACTGAAATATCCCAGGTCATTTTTCATAATGCATATTTCCTTCCTTGATTTTTCCTTTCTTTATTTAGATTTTGAAAATGTATATAGTACCAGTAATGGCCTTTGAAAAGGTGCAAGAATGCAACCCACAGTAGGAAGCAAAAACTGAGGAGTGATTATTGCAGCCCTGTTGTCTTACAGTGCTTATAACTTAAGCTTAGTGAAACATTTGTCTTATATTAACAACTAATTATACCCGAATGTAAAACTTAACATCATTACCCAGGACTAAGTCCAGTTGCTTGATCTGGTTTATTGTTTAATTCCTTTGGAAGTGTTTTAGAGAAAGGTGTTTTAGATAAGTGCACACTGTTCATAACTTTTTAAATTCACTTTTAAAGGTGGTAAGTGCTATTTCTTGATAGCCAGAAATTCTTGTAAGTAAAGGAACATGACAATCATGGGAATTGCCCTTTAGCTTTTTAAATGCAGAACGATTAAATGGAATAGTTTCATTGCCCAAGTTCTGGGCCGTTCTATATATTATTTAATGGCCTGTTAAATAGAAATCTCACTACTCATTCCTGTTTTATATGTGTGTGTGTGTATATATATAAAATTTGGGCTGTATTCTATGTACAATACAGTGATGCATTTTGGAACACTGCACATAGGGTCTTTGAGCAACCTGGTCTAGTGGGAGGTGTCCCTTCCCACGGCAGGGGGTTGGAACTAGGTGATCTTCAAGGTCCCTTCCAACCTAAAGCATTCTATGATTTTAGAATTATTTTGGTTTTGTAGACTCATAAAAGATATATAGGGAAAAACATTAGTAACTGTGGCTTGAAGATTGTTTTGCGGCACTATGTTAGTTCTACATGGCTTCCTTCTGAGTCACTTAGAAAAAATTAAAAAGGCAGAGCCTCATTCTTCAATGAGACACCCACATTGCAAAGAAATTTCAGCGGCGAGGTCTCTGGTCACCGTACGTTTTTAAGTTGCCTAAAGTACCACTGAAGCAAGTCTGAATTCTGTGTTCTCGTGTTTCACAGGTCGATCCAGAAGGCGGTGGGGGGTCGCGGACTGTCTGACAGCCCATCCTGGCGCTGGGGGGCTGTGATTTTGCTGCCGAAGCCGGAGCTGCCCCGTTGGGTCACCACCAGCCGCAAAGCTGCTGTCCACGTGGACTGGTGCTGAAATCTCTCGTCCGGCTGCTGCCAGAGCCTCTCCAGCGAAACCCAGAGACATGGCGACAAACGGGACGAAAGTGGCAGATGGACAGATCTCCACGGAAGTTGATGCTTCCATCACCAATGACAAGCCTAAAACCTTGGTAGTAAAAGTGCAGAAGAAGAAGACGGATCTTCCAGACCGAGATACTTGGAAAGGAAAATTTGACTTTCTTATGTCCTGTGTAGGTTATGCCATTGGTTTAGGGAATGTGTGGCGATTTCCATACCTTTGTGGCAAGAATGGTGGAGGTACGTTTGCTGTTTCATTCTACAACCTCTGATATATTTGTATATTAGAATTCACCATAAAAATTATCGGTAAAACACAACTTGGTTTTAATAGCTTTTTCATCTGTGTAGGTGTTTTGTTTTGGAGGTTTTGGGGGCATTTGGTTTTTTGTTTTTTTCTTCACACTTATCCAGGAGGGTTGGAGCCATTTTGGAGTGTGGTGCTGTTCTTTGAGGTCTTCTCTGGAGTTTATTCTAACTTCTAGTTGGCAGGTGCTCTTAAAAGACCATAAGGTATTAGAGCAGAACAAAAGCACGTTGCCCTCCAACCTTCAGAGCCCTTTCTTTTGAACTGAGGTTTTAAGAGAATTGCATATGGCTTGTAATACTGACTCTGAGCATACCATAAAAGGCTAACTTCAGCTGGAAAGCAGCCAGTCGTGGTTAAAACCTTTATGCTACCTGCATGCTCCTGTGATAGATGAAGGCAAAAAAATGCACAGTCTTTTGGATTTTAGCTTTTTACTTAAACAGAAAACATTTAAATGACAAGGAGATATTTTTCACCTTAATTTCATCTCTTGAGATACTGGTTCAGAAGTGAACTTCTGAAGTGTAACTTCTTTGAAAAGTTACACTTAAGAGTAGAAAACCTTGGGTTTCTTTTCATATATAATAGGGATGGAAACAGTGGAAACTCAGTAGTGTTTTTCCCCACTATAACAGACTTCTTATTTCCTTTTAGGTGCATTCCTGATTCCCTATTTCCTTACTTTAATTTTTGCTGGAGTGCCACTGTTTCTTTTGGAGTGTTCCCTTGGTCAGTATACATCTATAGGAGGCCTTGGAGTGTGGAAGCTTGCTCCAATGTTCAAAGGTACAGTATGAATTTGGATTACTTTCCATTTGTTTCCAAGTTGCAGAAGCTGCACAAAGGAACAGGGCAAAGATGTTTCTTTATGCCTTCATATTTTTGCTTACATCATCATTTTCTACAGAAAACTCTAATTTTCTGAGGTGTAACTGACAATTTTGAAACATGCTAAGGTCTTATTCCTTCCCCATTAAAAGTAGCAAGAGTTAGGCATTAGAATCTCAACAAACTTACTTTTGAACTTTAAAAACTTTTATTTTTTATTAGGAACACATAAAACCTGTTCAAAATAGCATATTAAATCTAGCAATAGTTGTCTGAGCAGTTGTAGAACTCTGTTCACAGCAATTTGGTGAATATTGTTTCTGTTTGCCGTCACAGAGGTTTGTATCTCCTGTTGTTCTTTATTGAAATTCAAAAGCCAGGCACTTTCATGCTGAATTGCTTAAGACAAGCTCACTCCATACTTAGATTTTTAGCTACTTTGAGGTTGCTCATTGCTAGAACCTCAGGGGTTTAATCTAGATTCTGCATAGACCTACAAAACTCACAAACTGTGCTTTTGACCATCTAGTCCCAAATCCTTTGACACCTAAGAGCTTCTGAGCTGACTTCTGGACCAGTAGAGGAGCAAGTTACACATTGAGTTATAAATTACTTCACACAGTAGGACTGACAATTAGCACAGGGTGAGCTACAAGTTTGTTTAGAATGGTGTTTTTTTCTGGGAAATTTTGTATTGGGAGAAGCCAGAGAGATGAAAATGTTTTTCACAGATAAGTATTTTAACTTTGCTCAAGTTACTGCTGTTGGTAGGGGGCACAATGCGAAGTGTAGACCTTGCTTTGCATTATAGTGATGATTGTTTTTAGCACTTCCTCCTGTTTAGTGTCACGTGGCAACTGCCACCAGCCTGAATATTTTACAATACCCCTGAAGTCTCCATGTGGAGTAGAAGACGAGGCATTCTCATTGGGGAACCCCTGACATTTCTTTAGCCGGAGATGACATAACAGCATTATAGTAAGCATCAAGCACGTTGATCAGTGTACTAACTGGCTACCTGTTAGACGTTTCTGTGGGACTGCTCTTTCAGAGAATGAGCTGAGTTAGCTCTTTTCCCTAGAAGTAAAAATCTACTGCAAAATCTCAGCAGCAGCAGATGCGACTGCTTACTGCAACACACAGACAACTGGACACTAAGATTAAATTTATGGATGACTGAATTATCACCCAAATTAATGACCTTTTTAAATGGTACTTCTAAAATTTTAACTCACCATTTACCAAATCTTGTGGAAGCTATCTGCCCCGTATGTTGTGTTTGTCCTTCTGAACTGCAGCTCCTCAACAGACACTTGTGCAAACATTACTAAAAGTTACCTCCTTTTCTATCTTTTTGTTTTCTTTACAGGTGTGGGACTAGCTGCCGCAGTCCTTTCGTTTTGGCTAAATATTTACTACATTGTGATTATTTCATGGGCCATATACTACCTGTATAATTCCTTTACCACTGTAAGTGTGTGTGGTGGGGGTGGTGGAATTGTTTGTGGAATGTAAAGCAAAGTGATATATAGATAGCTGATTAATCTGTCTCATTGTAAAGGTGTGAGGTTAACACAAAATGCACTGAAATCAGTAGGATAAGCCATTTCTTAGTAAAGAAAAACTATTTTGTAAAAATCCCTTTTAATTTTTTTTTTCTCCCCAAGAAATGTAGAACAGAAAACTCTGAGGAAAATATTCCATTCCAAGAATGTCAGCGGAGAAACATAATAATAGGTCATTTTGGTGCCACAGGCTTCTCTTTCTTAACAATTTGTTTAAATTTCCTCATCTTAATCTTCAGAGCCACAGCTCTTTCATCTGTACCCTTTTAGTTTCACTTATTACCTGTCCCTGCGCTTTAATCGCAAGCATGCCTGCTTGCTTCTCTGCTTACCTGCCAGGCAGCTGCAAGTCACGCTCGGGCTTTGGGCTCCTTGTCCTGGCAACGCTAACAAGAGTACGAGTACCCCTTTGCCTTTGAGCCTACAGGCTAGTCATTCCCCTGAGAAAAGTTCTAGTGTAAAACTGATAATTTTTTAATTAAATAGCAGCCACACAAATGTTAGCCTTTTGGGAAATAGTATCATTGCAATGTGTTTTAATAGAGGGGTTTAGTAAAGAAATTCCCATGGAATTGAAGGTTTGATTTGATTAGCTCTGAACTTCCATTCATTGTTGTTATTGTCACTGTGTTTTCTTTCCTTTTAACTTTATTTTTAGCTGCCTTTTTTTTCCCCTCAAGGATGATTCATCAGCTGAGTAGGTCTTGTCTGATTTGTGGGCTTTGGCCATCTGAGGAAGCAGTCTTACATAAGTCTCAATAATTAATGCATTATTTTTCAATTGTTGTCTCTTCTACAAATTTTGTTCATGCTTGCTTGTTCTCGGCTTTAAAGAATTGTCCCTTGACCAAATTTGCATTAATTACTGTCTGGGAGTGACATGATAATTTCTTTTTTTGTTATCCTCAGATTTGTTATTGATGTGAAAGGTCAGTCATAGTCTGAAAGTGGTGAACTGGCCCGTAATAGATGAATATTATCTTCTAATTCCCTTGAAGCCTCTTATCCTTGTATTTAAAACACGCAGTACCCTGATACAACATTTTCTGTGAGATGATTTTCCAAGCTTGGCCACAAGAAGAATATCTAAGTTGTATCTAAATGGGATTCATTCCAACAGATATCATGTGGAAACAGGTTCTGCTTCTCAGAACTTCTGAAAGATCACCTAATGTAACGGACACGTAGAAAATGCATGTAGAAAATAGATAGTTTACATTTTTCTAATTGTCCTCTGACCTGAGGGGAAAATAGAAATCTCTGATCAATAACCATCACACCTTTATTACTTCTAGCGCAACAAGAGGTAATGGGGCCTCTAGGAGGTCCTTTCTGCTGCCTTCGTGTCTTGTAGCACACTCAATGTACTTGCGCATGCTGAGAGGCGTATCAGACTCCAAAGTCTTTAGGCTGAGCTGAGAAGCGTATCAGACTCCAAAGTCTTTGGGCTGAGCTGAGAGGCGTATCAGACTCCAGTCTTTGGGCTGATGTATTAAAGAAAGGAAGAAATATTTTCACATCTGATTTACACAATTGATAAGAAGTTAAATAACTTATGTGGCAGACACGCACCCCAGGGAGATAAGTGCACTGCAGAACTCAAAGTATGTTAGTTCTCTGCTCAACTGTCATTTCCAGTAAAGAGAGAGATACCTGAGGTAATGCTTACTTAGTAAGTGTTTGACTGTTTAGGTTTTCTCTCTCTTTCTTTCCTAAATAGACTCTTCCTTGGAAACACTGTGAGAACCCATGGAACACTGACCGCTGCTTCTCCAATTATACCTTAGCAAACACCACCAACATGACAAGTGCCGTAGTCGAATTCTGGGAGTAAGCTGATAATTTTTTTCTGTATCGTTCCTGTGCATATGGAAGGATCAGCTTGTTGTCATTCATATACTATCTTCTGAGTTTGTTGTCAAATGCACCATTCTGTTGGCTTATTCTAGACGCAACATGCACCAAATGACTGATGGATTGGAAAAACCGGGGCAAATCCGATGGCCGCTTGCCATTACTCTGGCAATTGCCTGGATTCTGGTGTATTTTTGTATCTGGAAGGGGGTAGGCTGGACTGGAAAGGTAAGATTAAAAAGTACTGTAAATACATTTCAATTAAAAATGCCCATTTTACTCAAATATTCTGAAAATTCTTGAGGTAAGAGGCACTGGGGATAGTTTTTCTGGAATAGCTCTGTGAAGTATTTCATTTCTATCTTTTCTTGAATTGGTACAGCGCCGTGTTTTTGAAAGAGCCGGCTCCTCTGTAGCTAGCTCTGACCACAGTCTTGGATGGTACGTTCACTTATAGACTTCTTGGCTTTGCCAGGTATAAAATTGCCTAAAAATATGTCTGCTTGTTACTGGGATGAATATTCTAGCTATTTGGCATAGCAATAGGGTGAGGATGCAGTGATTTGGCACAGCTCTTGCTGGACTTAGATATGGGAGTGTTGAAGCTGTGTTGCTTATAAGAGTTCCTCCCTGCATTCCTTATGAGGAATGAGAGCCATAGGTGGTTCTTACCACAGGCACGCTTGCATGCTGTGCTTCCTGGAGCCTGGCTGGTTTCTGAGTACAAAATAGAATTTACTAATGAATTAAAGGAAATTATATTATTGGCAGACCTTTCTCCAGGAATGAAAAGGCAACAGCATCTGACATTCCCCCCCCCCCAAAAAGGCAGGAAGAAATCTTCAGGAAATGAAAAGCCACAGCCTTGAGGCCTGGTGGCAACCAAAGGCTTGGGTTATGAGACCTCAGGCCTGGCGTAGAGGACTAGGATTTTTTCACACTGAAAGAATGAATTATTAACTTTTGCCACGATAGTTGTGACCCACTTCAAGCTGCATGTTGAACACGGCCTAGTTGAGCTCAGACCAAACCTTTTCATTTCTTGTGTCTGCAAAGAAGGTGGCAAAAAAGGGATGAGTGTTTCTTTGGAGTCTGACTTCATAGTGTCTTTTTTTTTTTATAACGCTTTTGAAAAGGCAAGAGAGTAGGATTATGTAGGGCAACCATATCAAACATAGGTGAGGAGAGAGTGTTAAAAACACAGGGTAGTAATTTAACAGATGATGTTCTACAAGAAGGGTAGGAGTACAAGAACCTTGTGTTTTAGGGAGCTCACCTTGTTGAATAAAAAAAAAAGACAAGCACGTGCCCCTTGTGCAAAAATATCCCCGCCCACTAAATTCCACCTTCGGGAAAGTCAGCAACAGCCACCGGCCTTGCAGACATGGTGTTTAGGGAATTCTGTAGTAGGCACTCCCCTTTCCTCACCAAGCTTTTCTACTGATAAATGCTTCAATTTTGAAAGTCTCAGTTGCTGCTACAGTGTTTTTAGGGAGCAAATATTTTTCTGAAGTGTTAACAAGCACAAATCATTCTTCCTTCCATACTTACAATGTCTTGTTTCTTCACATCAGGTGGTATATTTCTCTGCTACTTATCCCTATGTTATGCTGCTTATCTTGTTCTTCCGTGGTGTAACACTGCCTGGAGCAAAGGAAGGCATTTTATTCTATATAACTCCCAACTTCAGTAAGCTTTCAGACTCTGAGGTAAATATTCACTCCTTGTAAACAGAAGTTTCACTACTAACTGTTCACCTTTCAGACATATGACCTGCTCCTCAAGTGCAGAAACAGATTTTTAAAAAAATTATTTCCTGCAATCAGGTTTGGCTGGATGCTGCCACACAGATTTTCTTCTCCTATGGTTTGGGTCTTGGTTCACTGATTGCCCTTGGAAGTTACAACCCTTTCCACAATAATGTTTACAGGTAAGCAGATGCCTGCGCATATTAGAGTGGCACTTCCTGTCTCAGCCGGAGCTGGATTCTGTCTTGCGGTGTAGTGTATCATTGAAATAAAGTGCAGTCTCAGCTCTGAGTATTAAATGTTATATCGAACTAGGAATGAGAGGTATAAGTGCACTTACACTAATGGGAGAGACGGTATGACTTGTCCAGCATGAAATGGAACCTGAACTGTGAAATCCTAAATCATGAAATCTTTTCACAGGAAGAAAAGGGTAATATACTGATGAAGAGTAGCATTGCTTTACCTACTGCTTAAAGCACCTTCCCTTTATTTCAGGGACTCCATCATAGTCTGCTGCATAAATTCATGCACAAGCATGTTTGCTGGCTTTGTCATCTTCTCCATTGTTGGATTCATGGCTAATGTCACAAAGAGGCCTATTGCAGATGTTGCAGCATCAGGTATCCAATATATTTTTCTCTAAGTTGTTCAGTGGCATCAGTTATTTTTTGTGTTTGTATGTTGTATCCAACTGCTTCATATAATTGTTCAAAATCCCTCCCTCCAAACATGCCTCTGCTCCCCGTCATTTCAGTCGCCCGTACCAATTGCAAAAGGGAGAGCATTGTTTCAAACCTCTCAAGGCAGCACCAGCAAAATCACGTCATGTCGAGCAGACTGCCTGCCTGCCTGCCTCGTGCTCTTGGGCCTTTGGTGTGGAGAGCGGTCAGCCAGAGACTCGTCCTGGGCTGACACAGTGAATGCCGATGAATACTGCTCACAGGGACCGCGTTGACAAGAGGTGGCAGCACAGTTAGCTGCTTCAGTGCTTAGCTGTGGCATCAGATTATGAGCCTTTTGCTACTGAAATTCTTAAAAGCAAGCTGAAAGGAGGAATAACGGTCATTATGTTTTAGGAGCCTGTATTCTCAAATTCAGTTAGGTTTTTAAGTTCTTTTTATTGTTTCTTGAGGTTAAGCCCTCTCAGGCAGATCCATTTCTCACCTGTTCAGACCTACAGCTATCAGCCAATTTTATGGGAAAGCTTTATTATGAAAGTCATTTTACTTAGGGCAGTAAGATGTCCATGGAAGGATTCTGCCTTTTTTTTTTTTTTTTTTTTTTTTGCTGTTCCTTTTCTGTCTTCCAGCTGAAAAAGCTTAAAGGAGCAGAGCAGATGGTTGCCCTAACCCAGCTGGTGTACCAGATACTCATTTAGCAGTTCTGGCCACAGGGAGGGATCTGATAACTGAAAGCTTGGTTGGAAGTCGCTGGTGGACAAAATATGTCTTTTTACACTAGAAAACATATCCCATTGATGAACTATTCCCTTAGTTAGAAAAGCAGAGAATTTAAACCCTGAAAATAATCTTCAATAAACTACACATTAAAGAAATTAGCAAAAAAAAATTATGATGGCATATACTGTTGTCAAAAAATGCTCTGGAAAATCAGTGGTGTGTGAAATAAGCTTCTTGGATTATGTATTTGATACAGATGTAACTATATAAAGACTACACCTGCAAACAAAACAATATTTTTATATCATATTAAGCTCCTAAATACTTTTTAAGGTACCTAAGACAATAGACTTTTCAAAGATGCACATGACCTGCTGTGGCCAGTAATTGCGAAGGATATTTGGAAATCTGACCTTTTAATTAAGGCTTCTATTCCTCCTAGCAAGCTCAGAAACTGATGCTTTTTTTAGCACCATGAGGCATGTTGTTTTGTGATCTTTTATACAGCTTTGTAAAACAAATAGTAGTATTAAAAGCTGTAGCTGTGTTTCAGTGGAATGTGTAACAGAGTCAAATTAAGAACATATTTATCTGAAGTTTATTTTGCTTTTACTACTGCCATTTGGGAGGCATTCCAATCATATCTGCTATCGCTAGCAAATAATTGTTTCAAAATCTGCACTGCATTTACTGTGACAATTCAGGTGTCTAATGCCAATCTTTGCTTCACTGGTTTGAAAGCTGTACACGTCCAACTAATTATCACAGACAGAATTACTTTTAATGAAAACTGAAAAATCGGATACCCCCCTTAGGTGACGCACACTAATTTTATTTCTGTGATTATTTAGTTTGCTACAGGTTTCACTCTTAACCTGGCATCAGCTGGTTTCCATGCTATAACAACAAAAAGAGCTCCTTCTTTTTTAATAAGAATTTATATTCTCCTTCCGACACTATGCCCCCATCAGCAGTTAGCAGGAACACAAATGGAAAGGTTTGCGTCTTTACAACTACACAATTTATTAAAATATGTATTTTAAGATAATTAATGGAATGGAATAGCAAATGGGAATACTGTATATGCTGGAAAGTGTCTTCTCCATTTCTGAGCTGTCTTTGTTTCTCTTCTGAACTACTTGGCGCAAAGCAGAAGATTACAGCTATCAATAACTACCTGAGAGGGAGAGAAAGCTGATCGGTAGCTGAAGATGTAATCCTAGCCAAGGATAACACTCCCTGTCTTTGCTATACAAGGTGCCTCTCAGGAGCAGCTTCCGAACTGCATCTAGTATTTTCCTTCGTCGGTTGGATTGGGGTTTTTCTGCTTCGGTTTGGTTGGTTCATTTTAAAAGCAAGATACATGCACTGACTTCTTGATCAGTGAACAGTGATTAAGCTGAAATCCCTGGTCAGATGCTGCATCCATGGCTGAGTCCTTCAAATAAACCTAAAACCTATGTATCAACAGGAGCAAATAATCACAACACCCAGTAAATAACATTGACGTTTTCTCTCCTGTTTCTCCTACCAGGCCCTGGACTGGCATTTCTAGCTTATCCAGAAGCAGTGACACAGTTACCAATTTCTCCTTTGTGGGCAATACTGTTCTTCTCCATGTTGCTTATGCTCGGAATTGACAGTCAGGTAAAACTGGTGTAAAAATTAATAACAAAGGCAAATTTTCTGCAAGGTTGGCCTCTCTCTATGCATTCTGCACTGCCAGCAGTTAGTGGCGCAGAATGGTTTCTGGAACAGTCAGATAAATAACTGGAGGTACTAAGGGCAGGAAGGACTAAGAGGTTCAAGGAGCCTGGGATAGTCAAAAACTGATACTAAGACACTTCTGATACTAAGACACTTTTGCTTTTTCATGAACTGTTGGAAGCATATACAAAATGTGCAGGACATTGACTCTGCAAATGAAAGGAACTTTCTTTGAAATCTTAACTGTTCCATCACAATACTAAGAATACCTTTGCAGTGTTCGTCAATGTAGGAGACACTGGCATGTCCTTTACGAGGTTTAGATGGCACAAATATTTCTGAAAGGCGACTTCATAACTTACCACATGGAGCAAAAGCATGTGAATGTCAGGAGCAAATTCAGGAGGCAGTAGGCTCATTAGTGAGGCCCTTCTGCATCTTCCCGTGTTCTGAAATCACCTCCCAATGGTAGGGATCTGGACTTTGTTGGTTCAGGCCTCAGCTGAGAGTTATAGATGGTATCTGACAACTGGAAGTTAACGGGAAGGCACAACCTAGAGGTTTTACAAATCCAAATAAGGTATTTCTCCAGAGTTACTGTCTAGATTAAATAATGGAATGATTAACTCATGCGATCATTAAAAAATGTTTATTGCGAAACAAACAAAAAAGCACACAGAACAAGAAAAAGCACTCTACGTGCTAGAAAGGACTATGTCCAACAAAAGCATTCATCAATCAGTAGTAATTTTATACAGATAGCAACTATTCTGTAAGCACTAAAGAACGCAGCCTGCTGTATTTTTCAAAGCATACTTTCAGGACTTACTTTGTCGGGGATGTCCCTTCTGCCTGCTGAAATGTTTTGTCATTTGTGTGTGACCAATCGTAGACAGAGGTGTTAATCTCCTTGCAATCAGTTGCAGTTGTCAAACCAGCACCTTACAGTCATTAGCACAGTCTTCATAGCAATTAAAGAAATAGGAGGATTACTAGCTTAGTACTGTACTGGTCTTTCAGTAAAGAAAATCCATCATTTTCTCTAAATACAAGTTGACTTCTGCCTGTGAACCAAAATACAGAAAAGACCAAGAGGGCATTTTATCCTGCAACATGAAAGGAAGCTGAAAATGTATCTTTTCTATTTCTTTGTTTTTTTCAGTAAGCTTCAGGCTTGACATTAAAACCTATTGCTCAATCTAGGGGGAAACTACTGTGGAATTAATTGGGTCAAAAATATTCTTGAAAGAACTTGTCTCTAGGCAACTAACAGCTGAGGAAGGTAGTCTAATATTATTAAAAAGAATATATATCTACAGGCTGTCATGCTTTCTTCATTTTCTGTCTGTCACTGAAACATTTCATATGCTATAATTTATAGGAACTAAATCTGTTGGTTACATTCTGATTGCACTGCTGGAGATTAATAAAAATTTACATACCTCCTGTTTTTCATTTTTTGAGCCATCATAATGGCATTTATTTTGAATATATACATTGAGTAAAAATCTGAAGTATGGCTGTGCTTTCCATTTGGAAGACCACATCCTCAGCAAAAACCTTACTATTGGATTGACTTTTCTGGGGATACAAAGAGTATTTCATTTATAACATACGAGAATCAATCTCGTGTCCTTAAGCTTCACTCTGAAGCGCTGATCTGATTACACTTTTTGTGTCTATTGCTTTCATGTGCGTGAGTAAATCACAGGAAGAAGTGTACGTTTGAAGGATGTAGGGGTCAAAGACTTCAACTGCAGGTGTATTGTCTTCTGTCACAAGAAAGAGCACTTTATATTCCTAAAGCACGTGCTGTAGTTTGTAATTTGTAATTTTGAGTGTTTTTCTAGCTGGAAATCTTTTTGCACAAATCTTTTTAGACAGAAACAAGGATATTCAGAAGCACTACTTCCACTGAAGTCAAGTGAATTTTCATTTATCATTTAATGGATGCAGCTGTAAGGCCTGGTGATGAGTAGTGTTGAAAACTCCTCCCCTCAATATAATCCCGCTGTTGGTAGTGCATTGCATTGTATTTTATTTCTAACTTTACTTGCAGTTCTGCACTGTGGAAGGATTCATAACAGCTTTGGTGGATGAATTTCCGAAGTTACTGCGCAATCGAAGAGAAATCTTCATTGCTGTTGTATGCATTGTTTCCTATCTGATAGGACTGTCCAATATCACTCAGGTATGTTCTGTAGAAGAATATGATCTTTTGTCTGACAGACAGCATCAGTTTTATTTCCCCCTTCCCCGGCCCCAACCGGGAATCATTACAAACCATTGAAGTGGCAGGGATCTATCACTCATCAACACTATCTAAATACTTCAGGCAGCAGCTGTGAACTTTTAAGTGCAAAATGCCTGTAGTCCGTGGGTGCAGTGCAGCTTCATGCTGCAGGGGACAGGAAGATACACATCTCTACAGTTTGCCATACAGTCCAACAGGTGGTAGCTAGGGATGTTCTCTATTGCTTCCTGTGATCTACTGGATTGCAAACTATTTCAGGGAATTGATTGAATCGTTGAACAAAAAGGAGTAAAGTGAAATCAAATCAGTTAATTGAATTCTGGCAGTAATCTGATTTTTGTTCGTATTGACCTCAAGCGTTGTAAGACTTTGACCTGTTAACTTTAATTAATTTACATTAATATGTCCCTAACCTATTCGCCACTGGTAGTTTTTAGCTTGCATTTTAATGTCTTGAAATTAGAGTCCTTGATATTTATTTTAACACTTCCTTCTTATATGTTTTAGGGTGGAATCTATGTGTTTAAGCTTTTTGACTACTACTCTGCCAGTGGAATGAGTCTCTTGTTCCTTGTATTCTTTGAGTGCATCTCGATATCCTGGTGCTACGGTAAACAACACAGTTTTTATTTTTTCCATAAGTTTTGCACATCAGAAGGATACTTCATCTACTGATTTGTTCTTCTATGTGTGCACATGCTGAGGGTGGAACTGAAACTGGCTTTGTTTTATATGCACGTCATTCCACTGAGAACTCAATGTTGGCTTGTGGAAGGTACTTCTACCTCTTTTAAACACCCCATGTATAAGCCTGGAAGTCATTAGATGCTAAGTGTTTCAGAAATACTAGATAGGTGACATCTTCCTCTTTTTTCCTGTCCCCCTTCCTTGCAAAGCCTGCGTCTTCCGAGGTGTTAGGTACTGCTGTTCGCAACATAATGACTTAAGTTGTTTGGACTTCGTAACGTTTCATTTCCAGAAATGACACTGTCACTCTAGGATCTTGCAGTGAGAGCCGGGCTCCTTGGTCAGTTTGATCTTGCATAATTGCCCTAAAATATCCAGAAGTCTGGACTGAGAAGCTCTGGGTATAAAGATTAATGAATACGTATGATATTCTTGCCAGAGTATTTGTGCATTTGACCTTAGTCCTGTGTTAGCTAGTCCAAGGACCTACTCCCCTGATTACTAAGGCACTTCAGCTTATTTTACAAAACCAATTCAGAGCTAGATAACTGCAGTCTTTCTGCTGGCTTTTAATGGGCTTAAGAGCACTTTATAGGGGAGAGATACTGCATATGAGTCCAGCAAATGCGAATGGAAAAATACGCCAGCTAAAAAAATGATGAAATCAAATACAAAGTTATAAATAATATGATAGGCATATCTTCTAGAAGATGACGGAGTGCTGGTAGGTAACAGCAGCAGCAGAAGGGCTACTCCGATTTCATACGCAGTTGTGCATGTATCTGGTGTGCATGTATCCACACAGAGTGAAGCTGGTTAACACTAGGATGGATTTTTTTAAAATTTAATTTGTAAAATATCATTCTAAATCTCTCGTTCTATTAAGAGAGTTTAAATTAACCAAGGACAATTTATTGCACCTAACCATCAGATGTGCAGGTTTCCTCACCCTTTGCATGGGAATAAGTTTGCTAGTCAGTAATTATTTAATTATGATGTGGAAGAATGAGAACAAATGATTCTTGGTGCTTCTGGGTTTGCATGTTTCTTTCCCGTTCAGAAAGGTGAAAAGTTATGTTGGGGGCTGTATAGAGCTGCCAACTATACCTCATCATGTATGACAGTGTCTCTCAAAACCACTGAGCTTTCAATTGAATCCATTACCTGATATGTTTCTATACTGTTTCTTATTTCTACATTTAGGTGTTAATAGATTTTATGACAACATCCAAGAGATGGTGGGATACAGACCCTGCATCTGGTGGAAACTCTGCTGGTCATTTTTCACTCCTATCATTGTGGCAGTAAGGAACAAACTTTTATTATATGATTCCAGGGATGTAAACGCGGTGGCCAATATACTGCAGCATTGTCATTTCCACCCCCGCAGGTTCATGTTAGCACTGACCTCATTCCTTTTTAAGGATTTGAGCAATTCCATTGAAGACAACAGGCAAAACCCAGTGTCGTTAGAGGAAGCCTGTGCCCTAAGAAAAGAAGCCTGGTGCAATTTCAAGATTTGTATTAGTTCTCTGGAAATGGTAATTTTCAAGAGTCTGATTGGCAGAGATAGAAAACTGTCAGAAACAAATTTTGACCATTTCTTGTATTCTTACATAAAATTTAGCTATCTCTCTAAAGTCTAAATTTTCCATATGCACAAAACGAACTGAATTCCTTCACAGGCACTATTCTGGTAACAGACTAGGATTATAAATGGATGTTCTTTCATGGGATTCTGTGGAATATATTACTCAGTTTATACTACATTGCTACCTTTTTTTCTGGCTCACCTTGTAAGGATTTTGTGCACTGGAAACCACAGTACAGTCTTTTCCAGCTTTTAAGCTTTATCCAGCTAAGACCATACAGTACAACTTGAAATAATAAGCAAAGTAATGTAAATTTACTACATGTAATGTAGTCAACCCAGATGCAATATGAAGAACTGTACTCAAGTAGACACTATTACACATGACAGAATACCTCCCACTCACTGATATTTCTCTGCTATTCCCATATAGGTAGCCCAGGGCTGTAAAAAAGCAAACAAAGAGCACTAACGAGAGGCACAGAAATGTGTTTATACTGAGGGTTCCTTGGTTCATCTCTACCTAGATGAAGGCAGCGTTCATTTTTCTGAAAATAAGTCTGTGGGAAGGCATAAAAAATGCATTTTGTTTATTTCAGTGATATAGTAGGAAGATGACCAATATTGTACATAAAACTTACCAGATTTCTCCTGTCTTGTAAAGTCTTCAACAGAATTTGTTGTCCGGTGCAAGTTCGCAGGTGGTGATGATGTGCTAATAAAATCCGCCACTCGAGGTTCTGCTCCCGGGGAGTACGTTCTGCACAAGGCCTCAACCTGGGATCAGAATGAGCTTCCTTCTTTGCTGGTTCAGTTTAGCAGGTTTCCCTGATGCAGGCTGTTTTAGACATTTGAAACAGGCCGGGATAGGGGTTTTCCTTGGGAACTTCAAGGAAAAAATACCATATTTACAGGTGATCTGTTTGAAAACAACACAAAAGCAACGCACACGTGCTGCTGATCAATGGTACAGTATACATGTGTATGCAGGTGTTATTCCCCAGGACGCCCATCTTTCCCAATAGCCCCCTTCCCTCTGATTTTGTGCAGGTTATCCGAGGACTCCACTAATACCAGTGGATATCCCGTACCGGCATACCTGGATAATCTGAGATGTAGGTTATGTATGTGAAAATATAGCGTTAACTTGAAACATTAAGTTTGGTAAGAAATGTCTTGGGAAACTATCTCTTCATCTTTTGTTATTGAAAAATTCAAAGTGGCTTTTGAATTTCATAAGATCAGTTTTGTTATACAGACAAATCTGTGGCCACTTACTGAACTGCAGGTTCTATTCTGACTGTCCTCATTTTCCATGATGAGTTTATTCAGAGGGTCTGAACGATATCGAAGCTTGTGGTCCGAGCACTCTTAGGGGGTGATATTAGAGAGGTCAGCGCAGAGCCAGGCTTTAAAGAACATTTCTTATTCAGAGCCTCTAGTAGTCTGTTGCTGACTCCTAGAACTCTACTGATACTATTACTCCAATAAGAAAGTTAGTAGAAACAAACGAACAGTTTCACAATTTCAGAATTACAGTTCAGTTATTTACCCATTCCCACACTAGAGGTTAAGCTAGCGGGGAATCAGTCCGTGCAGCGGGCTGACATTTGCCTGTTTTCTGCAACCCCCGTCGGGAAGACTGACCTGCCGGCCCCATCTACAAGGGAGTGCCTGGCGACCATCGCCAGGGACCAAAGGAACCCTTTTCTCCTTGCCTGGATGTTAAGGCAGGCTTGAGGTCCAAGTCAATCCAGTAAAACTCTTGAATGCAGAACACACTGGAAATCTCATCCAAATTTTCTTTTCCACTGTATTTTGCAGGGAGTATTTATCTTCAGTGCTGTCCAAATGACTCCTCTCACAATGGGAAGTTACGTTTTCCCAAAATGGGGCCAAGGGGTTGGCTGGTTCATGGCCTTGTCTTCGATGGTGCTGATACCAGGCTATATGGCATATATGTTTCTAACCCTCAAAGGCTCCTTAAAACAGGTAAGTCTCTCTTTCTCCTGACCGCATGATTTCATCCTGTGAGACCTGTGCACACTGATAAAAGATTGCCGGGCAGCTCTTTTCTACTATACGTTTCCTGTGCCCTGACTTGCTTAGCCCAGTTATTTTTGCATTTAGCTGAAAAACAAGTACAAAACAGACAAAACAAAGATGGTGTCTGTACCATCTGCTGTGAAACATAACTCACCGCATTAAATGTGGTCCTTATCTCTGGGCTTTGACAGTTCCAGATGCTTTGCATCCCAGCTCCTTATACCTAGAAAACAAAGTAGCAGTTTACAAAATATGTAAATTTGTCCTTATTAACGCAAGACAAACTGTCATGTATCAAGGCAGGTGATGCGCTAAGGAACTGGAATCAGACTCTTAGGACTAAACCCACCTAACTCTTGCTTTCCATGAGTGTGCTTGCAGTGACCCTATCTAGCGGCTCCCCGCAATGGGATCGCAGATTTGAGCCCTGGTCTGCATTATACCTGTTCTAAGTTCCAACAGCTGCCTTGTTCTGCTGCAGCTCAGAGAAAGTACACGTAAAATCTTTGGAGTATATTTTATGATTATGCTGCACCTCCCTTTAGTCTTTATTTAAGGGATGTCTATGAAGTAACTACTTCAGGAAGAACATTAGCAGCCTTTTTCTCATTGCACTGTGCTCTTAGCTTCTCCCTGATTCCTTATTCCATCTGTTAAAAGGAGAGGACGTTTCCCATGCGAGAGCGGCATTGTATGGCTTAAATCCATTTTAAGATCCTCCAAGAAATGCTCTTAAAGGAGTCCGAAATGTCAATAAGGTTATTGACCAGTACGCTCTTTAGTAATTACATATGTAATTACGTACAATTGCCATACTTAATGGTTTTTTATCTCAGTTTTCCCTCTCCAGCCAATAATCTCATTCTGTGCGTAACAGACACTTCTTCAGCATGAGTATTGAAACATATATCGCTGTCCTCTATGATTGTGGGAACGAAAGATTGTCAAAATGAATTTGTCAGAATTTCTGGAATATTCTAAAATCAGCTGACAGAGCCATCTTTGCAAAGGGACAGATGATCTTAAGCAGAATTGACGAGCAATGCCTCATGAATTGCTTAGATCTTGATGCAAATATTTGTCTTCAGCAAATTTTAAAAGACTCAGTGGCACTTCAGAGAAGTCTACCAAAAAAATTCCATTTTTTTTCTCTCTGCTTGTTCTTAGCTGCTACATTTTGAATATCTTTCCCATGGTCTTGTGTGCAAAGGGAGAATTGTTGCTCTGAAATATAGCTGCTTCTCGGGCGTTGTATAAGGCCACAGTAACAGTTCCTCATCTCAGTCTTGCTGTGGTCTCGTTTTTGAAAGCATTGACAAATGATCATCCAATAATTGGTGGAACTTGCACCACTCACAGGCTTCGACGATCAAACCTGGGCTCTCTTCCTCGATGTGAATCGAGGCAGATAAGCTTTATGAAAGGAGAACACAAAAGGACTGGAAATAAAATACCTTAAATACAAGTCTACTTTACCTGTTGTATCCTTGGAGGTAGTAACTCCCAGAAGCTGCAGCCAATACCCTCTAGTCCCTTCTGCTCCCTGGGGAGGGTCACCATCATGTCCGAGATCCACCTTTGAGTCCCCCACCGCAAACCTGCAGCCTCTGTGCGTGACCTGTGGGCTCCCAGTGGGGTCTGTCCTCACCTGCCCCCCACTGGAGACCCGCTCATTGCTTTTCCCTAGACGTGCTCAGTTGTTAATGCCTGGTGGCATCTACCATTTTGCGTGTGGTCTTTCAACGCCCACTGTCATGTTGAGAACACAGCTAAAGCCGGTTTGAGGGTATCTGAGTTACTGCCTTTTCGGACCCTTAGGAGATAGATAGAATTTTTCATTTAAGCTCCAATGCCTAGACAGTTTAGGATTGACTTTGTTTTTAAAAAGAAAAAAGTAACCTTAGCAATGGTATTTTGACTGCCTCACATTTATTGTTGTTCTTTAAACAGCGCATCCAAGTAATGATTCAGCCAAGTGAAGACATCACTCATCCTGAAAACGGGCCAGACCAGGCCCAACAGAGCAACTCTGCAAACAAAGAAGCCTACATCTAAACTTCTGTATTGTAAAAGTACCAATACTACTCCAGAAAAAACAAAAAATATGGTTGAATATGACCACAAATTTATGTCTGAGAATATATAATTACCTACCTCTAGTGGCAAAAAAAAAAAAAAAAAAAAAAAAAAAAAAAAAAAAAAAAAAAGAAAAAAAGAAAAAAAGGTCATCTCCACTATAAGGGAATCGCCATGGGTATGATCCAACCATTGTGCGAGCTCAGATGTTGACAGTGTTTTGTGTTCTCTGGCAATCCACAGACTGTTAATGTTTTTATCCTTTCACAATAATAGTTCCATAACTTGGAATTTGTAAATTGATGTGCCAAGACCTTTTTAATCTACCTTTTAGCACGACTATTTGAAGTTTTGTGCTGCTGATTTTTAGTAGTTTATCAATATTTCTTACCGCTGAATCCCAAGACTGTTATTTCTGACTTTGCAGGAGTAAAATTAAGTTTGGAATTGTTTTGTACAAAAAGAACGAAGTACTTCGTAAACAAGTGATTTCCAGTGAAAAAGTCTGCCCTTAAAATTTGCTCCAGTTGAGGCCATTTGAGGGGGAAGAGACTCCCTTCAATTAACAGCAGACACAGCCTTTATAAACATTCCTAGTGCAAATTAAATTATACGGCTATTTGTGGCAATGCGGCATAGAATGGCTGTAAACGCTTCGTGTGCGCTTAGCCTTTCAGGATAACTTTCAAACAAGATCGTAGATTTCTTTGAAAATATCTATAACGTATCTTAGAAAAAGAACATATCTTTGCGAATCGATACGACGTGAATCGCAGATGTTAGAGGTAAACCCACGACTTCTAACTTTTTTAGCAAAATGAGAAGTAATATCCAAGAGCTCTTAAAGATTCCCAGGAGTAAAAGAAGTACAAAGTATTTGCAATTCAAGCTCAGAGTACTGGAGCTTTTGTTATGCTGGTGTTATTCTACTATTATTGCATTGCCACCCAAATAGAAATCAAATCAACGGCTTAAAGATTGAAGCTTATCCTTGTAATTCTAATTTAGGGTTTCATTCACAACCGTTCTTTTTAATCCGTTAAAGGACTTCAACAGTTTCTAATGAGCAAATGGATCGTTAGCACTTTGAAAACAGTTTTGGTTTCATCTACGTATTATTTGCGGTGACGAAGGCATGAGGGAAAGCTATTTCAATAATAATACACAAAAATCTCCACTCTGGGCTCAGTCTGCATTTGCCACACAGCTAGAAAGCCCGGTCGGCTCCCGGAAGTTTTTCCCTGTGTGGAAAATGCAGCGGTTGGCCCCGTCCGGCACTTCTCGTTTGGCAGCTATACGACAGACACAAAGGATTACGGAAAATGCAGTAGTTGATGTTTGATTGTAAATGACTGTGACAGAACTGTGCAATGAAACATGCTTTTCAGCAAATTTTTGTGCAACGTACAATGTTAGATAGCACAATTTATGTAGAACTACTACGTGAAAAACATGTTAACTGTGAATGTTGGGTTTTTCGTTGTTTTTGTCTGAAGGTGACAAACATGTTCTTGCAATAAGGTATTATTCTCAGAATGTCAAGCACATTATTGTAGAAATAATATATATATAAAATACACATGTATTTCAAACTACATCATAAACTCTCAGAGTACGTTTGGTAGATTCTAAACTGTTTCATACATAGATCAACTGTAAAATATTATGAGATCTAAGCTACATCCTACCCGGCTATAGCTGAAATACAAAAGTCCTGTAAGTCTTTGGGATTTAGAGGAAAACCGTACATCCTCCGCAAACATTACACATGATACATACACATTATAATTGTGAATTTCATTAGACTAAGGATAAAAATTCCAACTTTCTCTTTCTTGTTTAATGTAACCAAGTCCCATGTTGTTCTAAGAAAAATGCAGTATTTAATGTTTGATTGTAAACAATTATGACAGCTGTTTGACAGACCTGCTCTTTAGCAAAAAGCTGTACAATATAGCACAAAATAGTGTTGTAGAACTACTGTGTGTAAACTGTGAATAGCTGTAACTTTTTTGTAGTACTTGCCCTGAAAAGAAAGATTATTGTATGATCATATATGCTTTTTGCAATAAGGAAATATCTGAACACCAAGCAAATCTATCTCTATATAAAAATATATATGTAATATATACATATTCAAAAATATATACAGAGCCTGTTTAAAAGAGTACAGTATTATTTAGTAAATTGCAACCTGTTCTATGGACCAAATGTAAAATATTTATAAATTAAGATGCATTTTAAATGTCTATAAATGGTGTCATAATCAAAGCACGATTGTTATGTAAGTTTCCAAGAGTTTAGAGGAAAAAGAATAAAGGTTATATTATACATTACGTTCAGGATTTTGCAGTCTTTCATTGCACAAACCCAAGGTGTGTTATTTTCTGTGAAGCAAGTTCGAAATGTTTCGGGTTTTTTTAATATATTTAAAATGCATCCTTTAAATATCAAAATGCTGTATCACACTTGTGATGTGTATCGATAATTCGTAATGCTATTTCTGTAATTTAGTTAGTGTGTGCATACATCACACAGAAAGCTTAAAAGGGGATGGTCAACAGCCCTACCTGGCACCCTGCCCCTAACGCTCCTGTGGGGGACGGCAGCCCAGCACCTCTGGGCAGCCCTAGTGAAAAACCTGGACTTTAAAATAGACGTTCCTCAGGTGGGTTTCTGCTGATGCTCTGGGGTGTGAACTGCAGCACCTGAAGTCACTGAGTCCTAAGCCGGTACTGAGGAGCGCACCAGCCCGGGCTGAAGCCAAGGTGCCGGTGAAACAGTGGCCTTACTCTAAACGGACAGATGATACATTTCTACAAAAAATCCCTGCTCTCTGTATCAGCTGCCATTAAAGCGTGAGAAGGTGCACAGCAGCCCGCCCTACATCTGCATCTCTGCAACACTGCTGAGGAGCTGACTGCTCCGATGCTCGGAATTTAATTATCTTACTATAAAATTGGAGCAGGACATCATGCTTGGAAAGAGTCTAAGCAATTTAGAGAACATGATTAGAATTGAAAATGCTCCTGATAGAAGTGTCTAAAATCATAGACTTCACATTCAAAATGCTGACCTTAGAAAGGAGCACTCAAACGCACACGTCCAAGGCGAGGGCAGATCCTCCTCCTGCTTTTAAAAAAGGCTGGGGAGGAAGGACGGGAGCATGGAGGGAAGATCACAGACTCTTCTGGAAATGGGGGAGGAGGGGGAGGAGCAACTTTGATGCTTTTCAAATACAGCGAAAAATTCAAACCGTCTTTAACATTTAGTTCATGGGCTTTCTCTGTCGTGTTCATGGCTTACTGCTCTCACAATACATCGTAAGAAAAAGGACGAGAGTCGCATCTGAGCGACGTGGACTCATGGGTTAGTGCTGGGTGGCTGCCAGATGGCAGGGCATGGGGCAACGGATGGTGGAGGAAAAGGAACCTAGTTGAAGGATATTGTGTTAGTGCTGTGATATTTCCATGTTCTCCTGGAGGAATTTTCTCTTGCCGTGCTGCAGAAATCCCGACAGCAATTCAACAAGAAAAATGCAAATAAGGTCACTTCTTCCCTCCAGGACTGCAGGATGCCCGGAGAGAAACCCATGTCCTTGCTCGTCAGGAGTATTAGTTCAGCTACACGTGCTTTTATTCTAAAATATCACTATGTTGCTTTTGGGGTTTTTTTTTGGTTTGTTTTAAGCCTGCTTATTTCTGGTTTGTTCTGCTCAGACCACAATAGCATTATTACAATTAACTATTAAAATGACTCAGCTCCCACTGCCGGCTGGTTCTCGGGGGGCTGGGTCGTG